CAATATGATCAGTATTTTGTAAGTTATTTCTTTTTCAATACTACACAATAACGGCATAAACACTGTTGTCATTGTTTTGTTTACAGAAAATATTTACAAAAACAAACAATATGAAATGTTGTTTATTACTATTTTTCTATATTTTATATACACATATAGTCACAGGGAATGTTTCTAGAAGTTCTACAGCCTGTGGAAGTCTTTGAAACATGGTGTCATTCACAGTGGTGCTTTACACTCCTCACACATAAAACGAATGTCTGTGTTGTTGTGGGCGTTTTTTTTGTATGTGCACATACATAACACCTCTTCTGAGCCTTTTTCTTGAAAGCAGTAGCAGGCAGTTTTACCAGGAAGTGATCACCATGCTTCAAACGAGAAGGAAGTTGTAGAAAATTTGGTGGGCGGTTTATTGCAGGTGTTGTTCCTTGGTACTTGAATACTATTTGTCTGATGACAGACAAACAGAATTCGCCGTATGGCGGTTTGTTTGTGGTCCTCATCTTATACATATTAAAAGCATTCAGCATGGAAATGTCCAGATGGAAAAAGAGTTTTATGTACCACTTATAACTCTTGCGAACACAATCAGCAAACCCAATCTGCATGTCACATTTGATCACTGAATGCATATTGAGGGTGTAGTCCATCACAGCTGCAGGTTTTAGAATGGGTTCATTGCTTTCTCTATGCTGCCTGCCAGTGTCTGCCATTTCATTAGGGTGAACTGATGACAACAGTGTGACATCTCGTTTGTCATGACACCAAAATGCCATGATGTCATTGGCAGCAAAAGCCTGCACTTCACCTCTACGAGTGCCAGCGTCAAACCTGGGCATATGTTTCCAATTTGCACGCACTGTGCCACACACATCTGTCATGTTCACTTGCAAAAAATCACTGAGTGTGGGGCTTGTGTACCAGTTACTTGTATATAATATATGCCCCTTACCAAGGTATGGTTCTATCATTGTTCTAACCACATCACTAGAGATGCCCAATAACTTCCTGGTATTTTGCAATGTATAACTTCCAGTGTACACAATAATATCCAATACCAGACCACTGTAACAATCACAAAGCACAAACAACTTTATACCAAAGCATTTCCTCCTGCTTGGTATGTACTGCTTGAAAGAGTCTTCCTTTGAACAGAATCAAAGACTCATCAATTACAAGCTTCCTGAAGGGATAAAAATACATATTGAATTTCTCTTTCAGATAAACAAACACATGCCTAATCTTATATAACCTGTCGTTTCTGTCAGGCCTGGTTTTGTCTGAGAAGTGAAGCATACGTAACAGTAGCACAAATCGATTCATTGGCATTATATCACTGAAACCTGGGGCTGCAATCAGGCGGTCTGTTGACCAGTATGATTTCACACTGTGCTTATACACATGTGGCATAAGCATTATTGTGGCAAAGAAAAGATACATCTCAGCCACAGTTGTCTCCTTCCACTGTTGTAGACAGTGATTTTGGTGAAAGTACAGTGGACCCCCGCATAACGATCAGCTCCCAACTCGACCAATTATGTAAGTGTATTTTTGTAAGTGCTTTTGTAGGTGTATTTTTGGGGGTCTGAAACGGACTAATCTAATTCACAATATCTCTTATGGGAACAAATTCGGTCTACAACGGCACCCAAACAGATTTCTGGATTGAAATAATATCGTTATCCGGGGGTCCACTGTATTGTGTTTGCCATGGTGTACTCGTAGTATATGTTGCTTTCCATGACAATACTTTCCATCAGGGGTTCGTCAAAGAATAACTCGAAACATTTCAATTCACTGGCACTGTTTCCCAGTGTACAACATGGCCATATTCCACTTTGGCTGTCATCAAACTGGTGGGGATTCGGAAAAAAATTGACAGCTTCCTGCCAATTCCAGGTGCGGTCTGCTGGTGGGTACTGGACAATGACAGGTGGTTGTGGTTGTGGAGGCTGATGTGGTGGGTGGGTAGGGGATGGTGGCCTTTGTTGTAGATCAGCTGAGGAACCGGCGTGGGTGGCAGCATGGGCCACTGCTGGTGCCTCACGGCCGGCACCACCATGCACATTATCCATCCCAATTGCAACAGTATCATCGTCATTTTCACTGTCAGTTCCTGTTGTATAGCCACGGGATGTACTCCGAGATGTACTCCTTCCCCTTGGAATAGTATGGCACACTACCAGAGCGCATATATCGTCATATATACTGACGCTTCACTGGGGAATATTGCACTTCACTATCACTACTGGAACTAGTCTGAAGAGCTTGTAGTTCATAATCACTATCACTATAATCACAAATGCTCACATCTGAGTCAGGGATTTGGGAAAATAGGAGTTTCCTCTTTGATTCTGGTACAACTGAGCATGAACAAGACGGCCCAGCACCAGAGGTGGAAGGCTGAGGGTCGTCTGGGTTTTCCTCACTATTACTGATATTATGGTCATTAGTTTCGGTCAAAACCTCACCAAAACCTTGAAACTCATCTTCGCTGGCACTCCCATCTGTATTAGAACTGTCACTGGGGAACAAAAGTGTCCCAATTCGCCGAGGAGTGAGGGGCTTCTTACCGCGAGGCATGGTGGACAAAGTGAACTAAAATGGCGTTCCCACAATGCGCCACTGGGTCCCAGATTTTTTTTCTACTGCGCACACCAATCACACAGACCCATTCTCTCACATCTAGGCCTACCAGCCTTTTCCCACAAAATTTGAAGGCACTAGAATTTATGTATACTAGTACGTCAAAAAACCCTGCGCGTAAGCCGTACTAGTACGGCCGAAACCCTGAAAGGGTTAAACTGTCCAAACATAGATCTACGTTCTCCTGCGTGGCACCCCGAATATTTTGAAAAATAAAAAAAATGTTTTTTTGTTTTTAAATTAAAGAGGGGTATTTTCTGTGTGGTATAAGACCCAAAAAAATTTTTAGGACCAGTACTTACCGAGATATAAGACCATGAAGTTGGCTCTGGATGCTCACCTGGTGGCAACATCCAGTCCTGCTGCTTGCAGAAGTGTTGCCGATTTGCCTTTTTTCTCGTTTTTATTTTAATTTATATAATTTTTATGTTCTGATAATTACAATTTATAATAGTTCTTGTGATTTCATAGCCAATCTTTGTTCTGAAACTAATATTATGTACTGAAATAGTACTCAAATTGTAACAATCACATTGACAGGTGAACATTTTCACCTGCCCTGGTCATTTACTATTGTCTAGAAATATATACAAAGTATTTATAGGTCCCAGCAATGTTTTAGACACGCTGGAGTATGAACCTCCTTGAAGCATGGTGTTATGACAAGGGTCAGAATGTGCCCTGCTGGAGGGGGGAACCTTGCCTTTATATGTTTTCACTCTTGCACACAAACATGTCTTTGTATGTCTGTCTGTCAGTCTATCTGTTTGCCTGACTGTCTGTCTATCTGTACATCTATCTGTCTGTATCTGAACATCTATGAGTAGATTGTATGTGTTTACCTTCAAGAAAGATGAGAGATTTCCCATCTGAATGGAGAAGGAATAGTGACTTGAGGTAAAATGCCATCTTAGAATCAGCCGGGTGCATGAGGATCAGTATTTGCCATTTCTCATTTAATGATATGCCAAAAGAATAAAAAAAAGTACATGAACATGGTTGTGGATAATGCTAAGATCCTAAGCAAGATAATCTTTTTTTTTATTAACCCTTTGACTGTTTTGGTCGTATATATACGTCTTACGCGCCACTGTTTCGGATGTATTAAAATGTGTAAATTCTAGCGGCTTCAAATCAAGCAGGAGAAAGGTGGTAGGCCCACATGTAAGAGAATGGGTCAGTGTGGTCAGTGTGCACCACATAAATAAAATTCTGCAACACACAGTGCATAATGAGAAAAAAAAACTGACCGTTTTTTTTTGGATTAAAACACCGACTTTGAGGTGTATTTTCGTATAGTATTTATCGTTGTACAGTATTCTCGTTTTCATGGTCTCACGTGATAAAATGGAAAACATATTACAGAAATAGAGATGATTTTGATTAGTTTCACGATGAAAACAACCTTGAAATTGAGCTCAAAGTAGCAGAAATGTTCGATTTTTACCAATGTTCAGGAGTAAGCAAATCACACCACACATCTAATACACGTCAACTGGGGAGTCTAATATTCTTTCACTAGTGCACTGATGTTACAGTATTTATACCATTTTTACAATAATGCATTAGTCTGCATAACAGTAAATTTTGTATGCATAAAAAATCAAAATAGAAAGCAAAAGTAATATAAGAGGGGCCTAGAGACGTGACTAATGAACAGAGGATATGTTATTTTAGTGCCAAGAATGTCTATATTGTTTATTCTGGACCCTATTTTGAAATCGGCATCTTTTTTAATTTGTATGAAATTGGCCAAATTGAAAATTTCTGACCACATTATTGGGCAGTTCAAATCAGTAAATGGGCGGTTTCTTGTACCCAACTGATAGACAAAATGGAGTTCTAAAGAAATAGCTATGAGTTTGGTCAACTGGAACAACGGAATTGGCCAAAAACAGGCCTCAAAGTCGCCGAAATCGCCGATGCGTATATGTTGCCGAGACCGCTAACTTCACGGGAGCATAATTCCATGAGTTTTCGACTAAATTTCATACTTTTGGTGTCATTACCATTGGGAAAAGATTCTCTATCATTTCATAAGAAAAAATAATTTTTTTTTCCCCAAAAAATTTTCCGACATAGAATGAGTTTCAGAAAGGGGCTTGGGACAGTCAAAGGGTTAAGTATCCCCAAAGAAAGACCTGGCTAAAGTTTTAGGTACAACCCTAAATTTCATAAAAGCATGTTAATTTGCATGCTGACTTCATGACAAAGGGGTGCTGATGTTAGGAAAGAGGTATAGTGGGTAGAAATTATCTGCATTAAAGGTGGAAATTACAGTACTGTACTAGTTCAAGTTATAGCAAGAACTAGTGCCAATCATCATCTGTTCTCATATCTTCCCTACTACTTACTTTAATGGCAAGTTCCATTTCTTTTCCAAGGGCAGTACTTAGAGAGCAATATTCTTCACTCGGGGAAAAGCACTGCATATTTCGTCCTTTGATAATGCCTTTTAGGTGTGTAGCAAAGCTTGAAAACAATTTAGCCACCATCTCAACTGCACTGTTTAATTCCACCTGTGCTTCTGAATAAGCCTTCTGTAAAAAGATATCAGTTACAGTACAAAGAACACTAAAAATAAATTAAATAAACATAACTTGCACTTAGGTCACACTACACATACATGTACATGTTTATTTATATACACTCATCTGAGTTGTCTTTGATTTTATCTTAACAGTTCTTGTTCTTATTACTTTTCCTTTTATATCCAAGGGGAAGTGGAATAAGAATCTTTCCTCCGTAAGTCATGCGCGTTGTAAAAGTCAACTAAAATGTCAGGAACAATGGGCTAGTAACCCCTTTACCTGTAAAGATTACTAAAAAGAATAATAAGAAGAAAATTGTCAAAGTGGGATGTCTGAATGTGTGTTGATGTTGCACAAATAATAAGAAAGAGATGATTTTGGATGTTATGAATGAGAAGAAGTTGGATGTCCTGGCTTTAAGTGAAACAAAGCTGAAGGGGGTGGGAGAGTTTCAGTGGAGAGAAATAAATGGGATTAGGTCAGGGGTATCAAAGAGAGTTAGAGCTAAAGAAAGAGTAGCAATAATGCTGAAGGATGAGCTATGGCAGGAAAAAAGAGTATAAATGTATTAATTCACACAAATAACCCGCACATAGAAGAGAGGAGCTTACGACGACGTTTGGGTCCGACTTGGACCATTTACAAAGTCACACTAACCAGAAGTGGAGCAGGACGGCTATATATAGGCAGGAAGAGGTAGTGGTGATAGTAGTAGTAGTAGTAGTGGTAGTAGTGGGGAACTAAGGAGGAGGAGCCAGTTAAATATAAAGAAAGGGGAGCACTGCAAGGGAGCTAGGTGTCCACAGAGGGAGAGCAAGCACACAGAGGTGGGGGGAAGGGGAAGTGATGAAATAAATAATGAAGGAACAGAAACACGTGACAAAAAAAAAAGGAAAGGGGAAGATGGAGAAGAAGAAAAAATGAGGAATCAGGTTAAGTCACAGGTGTTCTGAAGTTTGGAGCATTTTACAGTGTAGTGGGAGAGGAAGGCATCTACAGAGATGAAGCCAGGACTAAGATTCATACAAGGAAAGTTGTGTATTAGAGGGGATTCAACAAGACAGCAACTGTTAAAGTTGGAAGTAGGGAAGACAGTTTTAGCAGAAGACCAGTCTATAGGATGGCTGTGATCTCTGACGTGACAGAAAAGAGCATTGTTAGTGTCGTCAGCTTAACACTTGTTGAATCCTCTCTAATACACAACTTTCCTTGTATGAATCTTAGTCCTGGCTTCGTCTCTGTAGATGCCTTCCTCTCCCACTACATTGTAAAATTCTCCAAACTTCAGAACACCCATGACTTAACCTGATTCCTCATTTTTTCTTCTCCCTCTTCACCTTTCCTCTTTTTTTTTTTTTTTTTTTTTTTTTTGTCTTTCTTCTGTCGCGTGTTTCTGTTCCTTCATTATTTATTTCATCACTTCCCCTCCCCCCACCTCTGTGCACTTGCTCTCCCTCTGTGGGCACCTAGCTCCCTTGCAGTACTCCCCTTTCTTTATATTTGTCTGGCTCCTCCTCCTTAGTTCCCCACTACTACCACCACTACTACTACTACTACTACCACTACTACTACCACCACTACCTCTTCCTGCCTATATATAGCCGTCCTGCTCCACTTCTGGTTAGTGTGACTTTGTAAATGGTCCAAGTCGGACTGAAACATCGTCGTAAGCTCCTCTCTTCTATGTGCGGGTTATTTGTGTATCGTTCCAGTCACGGTATTGTGCCTTTTATTGTTATTTATGGACCCCGCAGTTAAGCAAAATATTCTCTCCAACTTTTTTTATGTTCTTCCCTCTTTTAAACCCCTCTTTCGATCTTATGAGGCTGCTCTTATTGCTACCAGGCATCGTAAGAATCAGCTTCGCTTCCTACATGACTGTCTTGCTGAACAAGTTCTGCCACCTTCCTTCTCCCATTTCCTGAAACCCAACCCACTGGGCACTCCTTTCCCGATCATGCCCGTCCCCTACTTCAACAGCTCATTCTTTCTATTAAGTCACAGGTTGAAGATGCCTTCTTTACTTCCCGTCAGCATCAACGTGCTCTCTTTGCGGCTCTACCACAAGATCTCTGTAACCTTCTCTCTACCATTGCGTTTGACACTGCTCGCCTGAATACACAAATTTGTTCTTCCAAACTACAGAATAAACTTCAATGTCTCATCTCAGCTAGCCCTTGGTCTAAATTCTCCCTCACTGACTGTGTTACTAACTTGTCTTCTGTCTCTCTCTCTCAGTATGAGCTTGAACTTCTTAGTTTTGGCATTTCCTTTGCCACTTCACCTGCCCCTCGCACTGGTATTTCCCTGATTAGCTCTTTTGATTCCTTTCGTCAATCTTGCTCCCGTAATCTTCCTGACTTGTCCACTTTTCATGGCGCTCTCCTTCCTGCTCTTGTGAAGTTTGTTTTCTAAGAATCACCACCTTCTGCGCCGTTACCAACTTGCCCTGTCTTCTCTTAAATCTAACACTAACATTGTCATACTATCTTCTGACAAAGGTAATTTGGAATTTATCCTTGATCGCGAGGATTACCTCCGTAAAGCTGATGTCTTGCTCTCTGACTCACGTACATACACTACTACTACCACCACTACCTCTTCCTGCCTATATATAGCCGTCCTGCTCCACTTCTGGTTAGTGTGACTTTGTAAATGGTCCAAGTCGGACCAAAACGTCGTCGTAAGCTCCTCTCTTATATGTGCGGGTTATTTGTGTATCGTTCCAGTCACGGTATTGTGCCTTTTTTTGTTATTTGTTATGTATTAATTCAAGGATTATGTGGAGTAAAATAAAGGTTGGTTGTGAAAAGTGGGTTATAGTAAGTGTATAGGCACCTGGAGAAGAGAGAGGTGTAGAGGACAGAGAGAGATTTTGAGAAATGTTGAGTGAATGCATGGAGAGTTTTGAACCAAGTGTGAGAGTACTTGTGGATGGGGATTTCAATGCTGAAGTGGGTAAAAATGTTGTGGAGGGAGTAGTAGGTAAATTTGGGGTGCCAAGGGTAAATGAAAATGGGGAGCCTTTAATTGAGCTATGTGTAGAAAGAGGTTTGGTAATAAGTAATACATATTTTATGGAAAAAAGGATAAATAAATATACAAGGTATGATATAGCACATAATGAAAGTAGTTTGTTAGATTATGTATTGGTGGATAAAAGGTTGATGGGTAGGCTTGGATCCAAGATGTACATGTTTACAGAGGGGTAACTGATATATTGGATCATTATTAGGTTGTAGCTAGTTAGTGTAAGAGATAGATGGAACAAGAGCAAATGGCAACAACACGTAAGAGCGAGGTGAAAGTGTATAAACTAAGGGAGAGGAGGAAGTTTGGGTGAGATATAAACAACTATTAGCAGAAAGGTGGGCTAGTGCAAGTATGAGTAGTGGAGGGGTTGAAGAGGGTCGGAATAGTTTTAAAAATGCAGTACAGGAGGGCCCCACTTATACGGCGGGTTAGGTTCCAGGCTACCGCCGTAAAGTGGAACACCCTTTTTTTCCACTTACAAATGCATACAAACACTAGATAACAAGTTTACACTAACATATATTATGTTAGCAATAGAACCAGGCATCAAAAAACAATAAAAAAGTACAATACACACATAGTGCACTCATTACTTACCTATATTTATAGTCTTAATCTAGGGTGAGACAAGTAGTATTTATTGTAAGAAATCAAGTGTGGTATGTATGGTAGTCAGCCAGGCTACCATACCAGGCCAACCCACCCACACATACTATTCTATGATATTTAAGCATCCCAGAGCGATAAAATGTATATACAGTTCACTCATTACTTACCTTAAAATATAGGGTGAGATGAGTAGTACAGTGGACCCCCGGTTAACGATATTTTTTCACTCCAGAAGTATGTTCAGGTGCCAGTACTGACCGAATTTGTTCCCATAAGGAATATTGTGAAGTAGATTAGTCCATTTCAGACCCCCAAACATACATGTACAAACGCACTTACATAAATACACTTACATAATTGGTCGCATTCGGAGGTAATCGTTATGCGGGGGTCCACTGTATTTATTGTAAAAAATCAAGTGTGGTATGGCGAAGGTAAGTTTTGTAAACGAAGTGTACACGTCTGGTTTGTGTACAAGTTACATTGTGTACAGGTTGTCTCTACATTGATACAGTAGAATAAATAAAGAACACTCCCATTCTCATGTAACATCATTTTGAGAAGAAATGATGCTCTGAGTGAAGGCAATGGAAGTAAGTCACTCTGACTTTTTTGGGTTATCCTAGGTTCTCTACACATATGTTATGTATTTATGTTATGTATCGTGTTTATTATATAATTTTGAAAAAAATATCACGGATGGATTAATGAAAATGTGTATATTAACGTAATATACAACATTTAATGATACACCGAGCTCAGACAGCGTAAACAAACAAACAAACTGAACAGGTTGTGGACGATCACTCGTCAGGCGAAATAGACGGTAATAATACGTGTCCAGTTTTAGTTCATTCATGTACATTTGTAAGAGTTTGTGAAACTTTTACCTTATAATATTTTTATTATTATTATAATAATTAAATCACGAAACAAATACTCTTACACTGTGTACAAGTTAGTACAGAATTATAGCTATAAAGTGAAGGCATACGAAAGGAATATTTTTCTACAGTTATCCCTAGTAACAGGTGACGGGCTAGAGAAAACGTAATTCTTCCGACACTTCTATAAACCGTTTGGTAAACATCTCATATATATTTGTATAAATTTTTATACTGTGGGTGCATGTATCATGTTTGTGTGTTACATAATGTGTTTCTTATATAATTTTGAAAAAAATATCATAGATAGATTAAGGGAAATGTCTATATTAACGTAATATGCGACATTAATGAGCCCAAGAGATTATTATTATTACTATTATTATTATTATTATTATTATTGCATCAAGAGTAGAGAGACTCTTAGTGATTTTAATGTGTACCTACATGCCAGCACAGTGTGTAAGTTTATTTAGGTATAGG